GCCATTCCAAACACTCACAATGTACAAAACACATGCACTGAAAAAATTAGCAAGTACACAGAACTTGCCCAGGAAATAAGGCATCTGTGGAGGATGGATAGGGTAATTATTGTACCTGTTGTTCTCTCCTGTACAGGTGTGATACCACACACACTACACAAAAGCCTGGGAACGTTACAATTGAATAGAAATACATACATCACACTACAGAAGGCCACTATATTGAATACATGCCATATTGTTAGGAAATCCTGAATACAGACACACACACTGACACACTTATTTAATTTTAGTTTTGGTTTGGTTGCTATGCCTTGACTCTGGTCCGGCATAGTACACAGCCACCGGTGTGAACCGAGTTTAACTCACAAAACCCAACATAATAATAATAATAATAACATTCAAAATAAATACTTTAATCTTCAATAGTAAAATTTTATCAGATTATACATTTGAAACATACACAAAGAAATTCAAACAATTTTTAACTTATATTTTAAATTAAATTATCATCCTGACTTTGAATGTAATAATACTACATTATTATATTTTGATAAATATAACTATTTCAATATTTTCATAAAAATAAAGTTTTACAAAATAATTACAAAAAAAGGAAAAACTAAATTGATTCCTATTCTTACATATTCATTTTGAAAATCTATCCATTGATGCATATTGATATACAGTGGTACCTTGATACTTGGACGGCTCCTAACTCACAGTTCAGTATTTGAATGCATGTTTGGGGAAAATCAGTAATTGACTGTTTGCTTGGCACTCACCAAAACAAAAATGACCTGCTAGAACAAATTTTCAGTTCATAACAAATATTTTTTAATTTTAACTTTAATTTTGTCATCTATTAAAAAGTTTCTATGATAAAAATGAGTAATTAGTTTAAAAATAAATTGAAATTCTAGTGTTGTCTATCTTTATCAGACAGAATTGTTGCTAAAATTAATAGGTGTATGTTGCCACTCTGTATGTGTATGAAACAAAGGAAATATGTCAGTCTTCCCATAGTGGTTGCTCAGTGTCCATATTTATTGGAAGAAGATTAAATAAATATATTACAATTGAATGAACCTATTTCTTTACATATTTTGGGAATTACTCTATAACATATTAATTTCTGTGAATACAGTTGTATTTATTGTAATAAATGATGCAGTTTTAATACATTCTCAATTGGATTTGATGGAAAGGAAGATGTCTTAGTTTTTTTTTTAATATATTCTGATAATATAATACTTTAAAAATAATAACTGCATCATAAATGACATGATGTAAACAAAACATGGAATGTTAATCTTGAACTATAAAATTATTTCTTTTGTATAACCAAATGTTTTTGTTTTTACATTGTTTTGTAGCATTTATTGTATGCTTGTTTAAATTCTTTTTTATTTTAAGGATGTGATTCAGACTATTTGTAGTCCAAGTGGAAAGGTTCAACGTATTGTAATTTTTAAGAAGAATGGAGTTCAAGCTATGGTTGAATATCCTTTTTTAAAATATAAGTTTAATAAATAAAATAAAATTTTAAAATGACTGTAATAATTTTTATAAATTAATATATGTACAGTAGAGCATCGATTATACAAAGAAATTCGGGACTGGGGTTGTTTGGATAACTGATCATGTACAAAAAAATATATTAACCTATCCCATGTTGAAATTTTTCTCTGTTGTGTGTCGTTTTGCATTGAATTTTCGTTGTTAACGAAAATGGTTTTAAAATAATAATCGTGGCTATTGTATCATTAAAAATTATTTCTTTATTTTGTACAAACAAAATAAATATATTGAAAAATATAAAAACAAAAATAAATATATTTTGGAAGTTAATCTAATATCAAAAACATTCCGATGCAGAAACGAGTTACAACCTTACATAAAGTAGGCCTAGGAAAAGAAGCCCAAAATTGTCTTTTGCTTTACAGCTGAGATTCGTTTTTTTTTGCCACTAAATTTCGCACACGTTTTAAAGACAGCAATTGGATAGCATAACATTCTTCTTGCTGTTCTAACCACTTCATAGCTGTCTCAAGGCAGTGAAAAGCTACCTCACTGGATGGTTCTTTTTTTTAGCATGGTTGTTGTCATAGGGCTCTTCCTCATTGTTGCAAGGGTCTTGGTTGTTGATGACACTGGCAATGATTTCGTTGTCCGACAATACCTGATAGCCAGGGTCATTGGCATCACACTCGAGCCAGTCTTGAATGTTTTCCTTGTCGCATTCTTCAAATCCAGAACATTCTTTAATTAGTCCAAACAGTTGTGATACAAATTGGAAACAGCCTATTTGTATCACAACTGGTGGCTCTTCAGGTGCAGCAATAGACTCCTCTGATGGTAGGAGCTTATTTCAAGCTGTTGCTAGTGGAGTGTCCTTGATAGTAGCCCAAGCTTCTGCTGCCATTTACATAGCATTCTTTAGGTTAATTTCAATGTACACTTGCTGAATTGTTTTTTTCACATTCTTCCCCGATTATTATCTTATGCAGCAATGCCTTTCTGTGATATTGTTTGAAGCTTTCAATGACTCCCTGGTTCATCAGTTGGAAGACTGAAGTAACATTGGGAGGCATGAAAACAACTTTAAAATTTTCGTTTTCTCTTTCCAGTGAAATATTTGAAGGATGACTTGGGGCATTGTCAATCAACAAAAAAACATTTCCAGAATTCCCTGTTTTAAGCTGATGCTTTTTGACTTCAGGGATAAATAGTGTCGTACCATTTTATAAAAATGATTGTATTCATCCATGAATTCTTTTAATTTTTGTAGGTGACCGGCAATTTTTTTATTCCTTTAAAGCACCATGGANCATAAAAATAAAGTTTTACAAAATAATTACAAAAAAAGGAAAAACTAAATTGATTCCTATTCTTACATATTCATTTTGAAAATCTATCCATTGATGCATATTGATATACAGTGGTACCTTGATACTTGGACGGCTCCTAACTCACAGTTCAGTATTTGAATGCATGTTTGGGGAAAATCAGTAATTGACTGTTTGCTTGGCACTCACCAAAACAAAAATGACCTGCTAGAACAAATTTTCAGTTCATAACAAATATTTTTTAATTTTAACTTTAATTTTGTCATCTATTAAAAAGTTTCTATGATAAAAATGAGTAATTAGTTTAAAAATAAATTGAAATTCTAGTGTTGTCTATCTTTATCAGACAGAATTGTTGCTAAAATTAATAGGTGTATGTTGCCACTCTGTATGTGTATGAAACAAAGGAAATATGTCAGTCTTCCCATAGTGGTTGCTCAGTGTCCATATTTATTGGAAGAAGATTAAATAAATATATTACAATTGAATGAACCTATTTCTTTACATATTTTGGGAATTACTCTATAACATATTAATTTCTGTGAATGCAGTTGTATTTATTGTAATAAATGATGCAGTTTTAATACATTCTCAATTGGATTTGATGGAAAGGAAGATGTCTTAGTTTTTTTTTTAATATATTCTGATAATATAATACTTTAAAAATAATAACTGCATCATAAATGACATGATGTAAACAAAACATGGAATGTTAATCTTGAACTATAAAATTATTTCTTTTGTTTAACCAAATGTTTTTGTTTTTACATTGTTTTGTAGCATTTATTGTATGCTTGTTTAAATTTTTTTTTATTTTAAGGATGTGATTCAGACTATTTGTAGTCCAAGTGGAAAGGTTCAACGTATTGTAATTTTTAAGAAGAATGGAGTTCAAGCTATGGTTGAATATCCTTTTTTAAAATATAAGTTTAATAAATAAAATAAAATTTTAAAATGACTGTAATAATTTTTATAAATTAATATATGTACAGTAGAGCATCGATTATACAAAGAAATTTGGGACTGGGGTTGTTTGGATAACTGATCATGTACAAAAAAATATATTAACCTATCCCATGTTGAAATTTTTCTCTGTTGTGTGTCGCTTTGCATTGAATTTTCGTTGTTAACGAAAATGGTTTTAAAATAATAATCGTGGCTATTGTATCATTAAAAATTATTTCTTTATTTTGTACAAACAAAATAAATATATTGAAAAATATAAAAACAAAAATAAATATATTTTGGAAGTTAATCTAATATCAAAAACATTCCGATGCAGAAACGAGTTACAACCTTACATAAAGTAGGCCTAGGAAAAGAAGCCCAAAATTGTCTTTTGCTTTACAGCTGAGATTCGTTTTTTTTGCCACTAAATTTCGCACACATTTTAAAGACAGCAATTGGATAGCAAAACATTCTTCTTGCTGTTCTAACCACTTCATAGCTGTCTCAAGGCAGTGAAAAGCTACCTCACTGGATGGTCCTTTTTTTTAGCATGGTTGTTGTCATAGGGCTCTTCCTCATTGTTGCAAGGGTCTTGGTTGTTGATGACACTGGCAATGATTTCGTTGTCCGACAATACCTGATAGCCAGGGTCATTGGCATCACACTCGAGACAGTCTTGAATGTTTTCCTNTACAAAAAATTCACGACAAAAGGCATCTCAAATACGCAGAGGCGTGGCATATTTGTAAAAATAGTCAAGAAGGACAAGCAATTAACTTTAGAGAAGCAAGTAAAATATCGGAAGCATGGAGATCGAGCTTAATATAACGGAGCGAAATAATAGAAATAGCAAGACAAATTTTGGAAAAGCATGCATATGAAAGGTGCAATCGGGCTACACGTGCATTATTATTAGTGATTTTATGGTTATATTTAGCATTGTTGTCTTTATTTATGTTAGGTTCATATATGTATGGTTTGATGTATCGTATTAGTGGTTATTGGTAGTATTCTTTATCGCGTTTATTTTTAACGGTAAACAAACGGCACGATTCTGCGCAATAAGAGTTTGTTTAAAAAGCGTTCCAAAACGCATTTATCGTTTTTATGAATTCGCCAATATTCGATTTTCATTGGTTCGTTCTTGAAAAAGGGCATTAAAGATGTCCGAAAATGTTTGAAGTGTTATAATAAATTTGGCTGTATTATATAAGGCTTGTGGGTAACATATCCGCATACTATAACAGTGATACATGATTTACTTGCCTTAAAACCAAGTGCTGACATTTCATTCTTAGAAACTAGGGTTTTTGTTGGTATTTTCTTCCAGTACAAACCAATTTCGTCTGGATTGTAGACATTGGTTTGTTTTGTAGCCCTCCTTATCAATCACGTTTTTAAAATGACTCTTTCAAACGTTCAGCTGATTTAGTATTAGCCGACAGTTTTTCACCCTGGATGTCCAATTCCCTAATTCCATGCCTAGATTTGAAACACATAAGCCAGCTGGTAGTCACTTTAAAATCAGCATTACCCCCTAGTTTCTTGATCATTTCAAGAGCTTTTTCACAAATCAAAGACCACTTATTGGTTGTCCTTGGCTATGTACCTGCATGAACCATGTGTAAAGTGCAGTGTCCAAATTCTGTTTTTCTGCTATTTTCATCATTTTTCTGTGCAAGCTTCCATCTTCACTGTCAAGTACACACTCAAATTTTTTAATGGCATCACTGTTCTTTTTAATGTCCGATATTGTGGCATTTCCAACTCCATATTTCCGAGCTAAGCTTGATCCACTAGCACCACTCTTCAACTGATCTATTATTTTAAGTTTATTGGAAACACTGAGAACAATGCAGTTACGTTTAGTCGCCATTGTGAACAGTACAACTACAGCATGATGTTACAAGTGTGGAATTCACAGATCCAAAATTAATGTTCCCAATGGAAATGAATTTCGATTCAGCATGACACATGTCCCAACACACAGTCCTCAGAAAAACACTAAACAAAGCAAGCAAAACTCACCACTCACGATGGGAAAAAACCATTTAAATACAGTCGAACCCCCTATAACACTGTCACTTAGATTTTACAAATACGTGAGCCATTCACAGCCCGGCACATGTATTTGTAAAATCTAAGTGACTTGGAAAATCTAAGTGACTTGTAAAATCTAAGTAACATGGAATTCATATAAAACAGAATTATCAACAGTGTTATAGGGGGTCGACTGTACTGGCGCTTTTTAAGTATTCTCTCGTGGTCGTGCCAGTGCTGCCAGCTAAAACACGCATACCAACAAAAACAATATTTGAGTAGCCCAAGACATAGCCAAATATTGCAGCACCACAGCACTAGCGGAAATTTAAATTTGCTGATTGGAAAGCTTTCAGTTAACCAATGTTTCAGTTGATAGGTATTTGGATAATTGATGTGCTACTGTACAATATAGAATGATGTCTTTATTTTATGTTTTACAGATAAGCCATATTATTGATATAAGTTAGTTTAAGTTTTTATTCACTTTTTATTTAATAAAACTTACCAATCAACTTTTATAAACAGCTTTGTTTCTACATTTAAACAAGTTTTTATAAATGCAATATTGCAGAACTGTAGTATTTCACTTACTTTGCATTTAGGTTTAAAAACATGTTTTTAAGTTCACTTTGTGTAAAGAGTTTTAAAAATCATTATTTGAATTTTGTATATTCTTTCTTCACCCAACGTTGATATTTTGAAATGTTAAAAGTACTTGCATATAGTAGTACCTCAGGATATGAAATTAATCCGTTCCGAAACTGAGATTGTATCATGAAAATGTCGTGAGGTGAATCATTTTTCCCCATACGATTACATGTAAAACCAAATAATTTGTTCCAACACGAAAAACACACTCAAATTAAAGCTAAGTAGTACATTAAAAAAAACTATAGTAAGGAAAACACTGAAAATGCATTTTGTAGTTGTAAATGTAAAAATAACCATAATAGAATAATAATTGATTAAAAAAAAATGTAGTTTTATTTGCACTTTACCTTTGAGGATAGACGACGGTGGAGGTATAAACTGGTGGCAGAAGAGAGTTAGAAGTGAAATAATACTAAAACTTAACTTACATAACATAAGTTATTTTTAAGTTATTGTTACATTAACTCTAATTTTTTAACTTTTCTGTTTTATATATTTTTTAAAAATTTTTTATTCACTGGTTTTTGCTGTCTTTCCTTCACTTCCACCAGCACTTTCACTGGATAGAGGTCACTTGGTAAAATATCTATCCAAAGAACCTACTTTTTAAAATGTATGTTTCTAAAATGACTTAGCCAAATGTCATTACTCCGAGCAGCAATACAGCCAGTGTGAACCTTTTCGGAATGTTTCTTTTCAATAAAATCAGTCACTTTCTGATAATACCTCAAGATTTCCTTTATTGAGTGAGATCCTTCCACGGCAAAGCAAACACGTGGACTGAGACCAATGAACAGAAGTGAATAAAAAATGGCGCTGGGAACTAATGTAATGTTGTATGGTGAGTTTTTGTTCGTATTGTGGAGCAAAAATATGTTCAAATTTTATATCATATCCTGAAAATTTTGTATCCTAAGGCGTTTGTATCCTGAGTTACCATTTTATTTAATTCATTAAGTAAATAAATTTAATGCCAAAACCCAGTACTTTTTCTTCCATATATAGACACTGCTATACATTTTGTATCAATGCAGGCTGTTGTATGTGTAAGCAAGCCAACTTTTAGGGGAAATCAGTTAATTTTGCGTCAATGATGGTCTAGGGTCCTTTCGTATGTGGGTAATGGTGGCAAAGACAAAGATGACAAGTATCTTACAAAAACTTTATTGTAATATGAAATAAACTTACACCAGGAAAAAAATAGTTTTCCTTAAAACAATCAGTTATTCCGACATCCTGGGTGTCGATGTTGTTTCTTGTTCATCGATTGAAGGTTGCCCTGGGACAGTGGCAGATGGGAGACTCCATTGGTTGGCATTGCCGATATAGTCTGAGTCTGTAGTGGCACAGGTTACCAGTTGGGCACAATGGACGGAAAACTCATTTTTCGTGTTGACTAATCATATGCAGGTGCACAGTTTTCACAGTTTATGGAAAGTGAGTCTGTCCTTGAAGATCGGGGATTATATCAATCTCCGTTTTTTCCTTTGCCCATTCTGATTGGCTCCACATCCCTTTTTCTCGCTTTTTGATTGGTCCCTTGTCTGTCCCTAAGTGAAAGACAAGACCTGTTCGGGTCACGAGAAAGGTCCACTTCGGAGAATCTACCTGACACCATCCATTAACTCTGGATGGAAGGTGTTGATGGTACTTTGAAACCTGCACTCATATTTTACCTCATTGTTATCTAGCCTATGACATTTGAGAATTTTAACAACCTGATGTGTTGTCTTTTTTTTATCATTAACCTTTCCACTTTTCAAAATTTTTCTATGTTTTAATTGCTTGTATGTAAGCACTTTGTCAAAGGTCCATCTCTGCTGGTTGACGTTCGTTTACATCTATTGCATTGCATTTGACATTAATAGTTTTTCCTTGTCTTCATCTCATATGACTTGCACAACTAATCTGACCTTTGATCGGTTTTAACAATGGAAGTTTTTCTACTTTCGTTTTAATAAATTTTTAATTGCAACCTGTTTTTGGAACCTCACATATGCTTCTGATTTGTTTACACACATGCTGTTCAGTCTGGAGATGTTAGTGATGATATTATGTTAAGATTGATTAAAAATTAATATCATGCACTGAAACCAATAACTGGTGCAAAATACAGTGGGTGATCGGTTAACAAACAAATCGGATAACGAACACTTTCACGAAAGATTTTTATGATTGGATAACGAACACTTCACTGAACAAACACAAGAAGCGACGTAAAATAACGAATACCGATTGGTCTTCCTTTGTCTTCAGGCAACAATTCGAAACTTTTCAGAGCACGGGAGACGTCGACATCGACGTTCTACCCAGTATATACTGATCGGATAGTATTCCCCTGAAGTTTGAAACTCTCTCTTGTAATTCCAGCCTTTTGTATTTCTGACAGAAACAATTCTTTTACGTTTTCTTCTGAAAATGCAGATTTATGCCAATATCCGCTATTAAAGATCTTTTGAAGAAGTAGGAAGATGTCAGAACAACGGTCTTAAAATGGCATCCAAACCAAGTTGAGGTTAATAGGCCTAGGGATCTCTACAATTACAATGCTATTAATTACTTCTGAAAAATCATGAATAAGACAGAAAAGTAATCGACGTTGGATAGATTCTTTAACCTCCACAAACAGAAAAAACATGACTAATAAAAATGCAAGAACATGTATATATGTATTTTTATTATTACATATGAATAAACGTAGTAAAAAAGTATATACTTTTTTTATTTTTGGGGTCTCTGGAACGAATTAATCAAATTCCCATAGAAACCTATGGTAAATCGATAATCGGTTAACGAACAATTTGGATAGCGAACAAAGTCTTGGAACGGATTATGTTCGTTAACCGATCACCCACTGTAACTGGTAAATAGAAGGAACATCCTTCTATTTACCATTTGGAAAACCTGAAGAACTCTGAAGGAGTTAGAAATTGTTATTGCACAGAACCAACACTCACAATAATTCATATGTATATAATAATTTTCCAGACATATACTATATATTTCTGGCTAGAGTTTTTATTTCAAGATTACTGCTGGAAATGCTATCTAGTAGTAATAAAATCCACACCTTATATAAATCTCCAGCAAGCAGAATTTGTATAACAAACATTTTTGGTTTATTTTATAAGGTTTGAAGTTTATAAAAACTTCAGTTTCAGAAGTTTTATTACTCAGTGTTATAAGATTTGAAGTTTATAAAAACTTCAAACCTTATAAAATAAACCGAAAATGTTTGTTATACAAATTCTGCTTGCTGGAGATTTATATAAGGTGTGGATTTTATTACTAGGGTTTTTTTCCCACCATGTATATGGTGTGCTGAAAACTCTGGACTGAAATTTGTTTGGACCCATGTATGTGTTCAAATAAATTCCAGTTCATGGAATACTAGCATGCCAGATTATTACCAGGTATTCTGGATTATTGGTTGCTGGATTACTAAACTTCTTTAATTGCTGTTGAACAATCAACTATTAAATGATATTGATAAAACACCATTAAAAAAAAACTATTCTCTAGAATCCTGGATATTTTAGCTAAAAATCACAATACAGGACTTTCCATGAATATGTTAAATAAAAATTTTTCACAAATAAATTATTTTTATGATTATTAATAGTTGATATTACTCTATAATAATGATCAAATGATCTAATAATCTAATAATATATGATTAGAAAGTAGCCTATGTAAATCTAAATATAAGTTACTTAAATGTTTAAATTATAAAGTTAGTATGAACAGAAATATGAAACTGCTTTGCTTGATTGTTTTCTAATGTGCTACTTTTATTATTGTAAGTTATTTCTATTATTTTATAATTTTCATCTGTGGATTATTGTTTCAAAATTATTTTATTGCTCAATGTTTTTGAGATCTATAATGTTGATTTAATTTTTAATAAAAAAAGACAATGTCTGTTATCAAGTATAATTACATGTTGTTTTCTGTGATATAAGATTTCCTTGACAATTTAAACATTTGATAGCATTGAATCAGCCAAGAGAGCAAAAGAATCATTAAATGGTGCTGATATATATTCTGGTTGTTGTACTTTGAAGATTGAATATGCAAAGGTAATGTATGATTAAATTAAATGTAACCTTTCAAATAAACTGCATATTAGATTTGACTATGATATTTTTAAAAAACTGGTAAATTTAATCATAATAAAAATTCTATAAATTTTTACATATTTCTCTTTCAATAAATACAATTATGTTACAATAAATAATTAAGTTCTGATAGAAAATATGTAAAATTTTCAAAATTCTTTAATTTTTATATTTCAACTACAGTCGACCCCCCTATAACACGGTAGATATGTTCCGGTTTTTATGAATCCATTTTCTACAAATCCTTAAATATGTGAGCCAATCACAGCCTGACACGTATGCAGTTTACGGACTATGGCTGTTTGAAAGGTTTTCTCCCATAAAATTAATCAATTCTAGACTAATTCGACTTAACATTTCCAAAATACGTATAATTTTTTAGGAATAATCCATATAAACTATGCTATAAACAAAAAATTGTAGGATTACTTACCAAGCGTGCACTGCTCAACGATGCCATTGCTTAAACTTGTTTTCATTGTGGAGCTTGTTATCGAATGGTGCTCGCGTGCTTCCTGATAAATTATTTTTTTTTTGCGAAAAATTCGCTGAACTTTGGAGACATCATTAATATAAATATAATTTTTATGGATATTAAGTAATAAATGGTTTTCAGTAGGTCCGCTGCTCTGAACTCAATGGTTTGTACAATATCCGCTATTGGTCTAGATTGGACCAATCCTGTCGCAACACGAGTTGGTGATGATGTTTTAGCAAATTATACGAGTTTTTTTAGCGTGTTTGTACGAANAATGGTTTTCAGTAGGTCCGCTGCTCTGAACTCAATGGTTTGTACAATATCCGCTATTGGTCTAGATTGGACCAATCCTGTCGCAACACGAGTTGGTGATGATGTTTTAGCAAATTATACGAGTTTTTTTAGCGTGTTTGTACGAATACTGTCTCAATTTTTTCACCATCATATAGGAATCCGAACTATAAGAACCCATTTTATAGGGGGTCTACTGTAGTTTTATATTATAATTGATGTTTTTTTTTTTTTATTTGTGGTTTTAGGCCCCTTACTGCTCAGAGAGCACAAAGAGGCCAAGTTATAATTGATGTTAATAATCATAATTGTTTTTTTTTTTTTTTTAATTAAGATGAAAATAGATAAACAGTCATTCCTTACATTTTGTAGGTATGAATTTTTTGTTGTTTTTAATATTATTTAAAAAATATTAATTAATAAAAATGTTTTTAAAATGATATGGAAATAAGATATAATTGTAGTTTCTGATGTGTTGCTGACAATTTTACAATTTTAAGTAAAAACTGGTGTTTGTGGGACGCCACACAACAGAATGCAACACAAACAATTTCACAGAACATTCACACAGTGTTAATCAATCATAAAATACTTCACTAAAACAGTGAAATACAGAATTACTGATCCAAAAAAAAGTACAGAAGCATAGTAAGCAGATCCTTTGCATTGAGCAGACTGACACAAACAGTCAGTAACATATTAGAAAAGAAAGAATGGGTAGGGCAAGATATAGATGCTATTGCATAACCAGCATATACCACTTCTATATGAAATATTTCAGAAAACCTTTCTGAAAAAGATTGAGATTTTTTTTTTTTTGGGATGATCCTACAAAATAACAACTGCAAAAGTGAAGAGTGGCTGTTATTTAGATTATAAATAATTTTAATATGGTAGATTTTACTTATTTAGTAATTTTAAGAAATATTGTTTTAGTATTTTTTTGGAAAGGACTTTGTCTTCAAAAGAATTAATTTTAAGAAAATTTTGATTCAGTATTAAAATGTATACGTAATAAAAATGTAAATAAAATACATTACAGCCTACTAGACTCAATGTTCATAAGAATGACAATGAAAGCTGGGATTATACAAATCCTACTTTAGGTAAGATATTTTTTTCTTGTGTATATATTTTTATGTTTAAATACTGCTTATTAAAAAAAATATTTTTAATTTTACAGTATTATATATAATGAGATTTTTATATATTTATAATTTGAATTTTTACACATCACTAATAAAATTAATTTATTAGTAAGAAGGAAAAGTTAAAAATTTTTATAAATAGACTATACTGCTTAAATTTAATTAATTAAATACCAATAACAAAGTTTTATAACACTGTTTTATTAAAAGTCGTTGGTACACTTTTGCATGAAATAACTATATATAGTAAACCTCATTATTTTGAAACTCAATGGACCAAAAAACATGGCATTAATTATCCAAACTTTTTTGGAAATGAATTTTTTTGAAATTCTCAAATAAAATTGTGACATCATCTTATAATTTTTACTCATTTGGTTACAAATCTATACTAATATTATAAAGAAGTAATGTTTGTAAGTAAGTAAGTTTGGATGTAGCGGGTAATCTCCGAAACTACTCATCCGATTTCAAAACTTCTTTCACCGATTTCAAAACTTATTTCGTTAAACATTCATATAAATTAAAAGATATAATCTAGGTTAAAGCTTTTATGTCCAGAAGATGGCACTACGAGTACGACACCCTAAGTTTGCTTTTTTGTGAAAATGAACTAAAGCGGATCATCATCTATCTATCTATATAAATAAAAATGTAATGTTCGTTTGTTCCTATCGATTCCTTTGAAATTTTGACACAATGCTGCATTTGAATACAGACGTGTTTTTATATAATATACATGTCGAAATTCCCCCACTGAAGGGAGATGGTTAGGATTAATTAAGGCTTACCGTGAAGAACTTGGCTTCTATTATACTATTTTAGATGCGGGTTTTTGTGTTTTTGATTGCGTTTTAATAGGATATGTCAAGAGAATGTTCACTAAGAAGAAATTTTTCGAAAAATTTCCTCCCACGGGGAAGTGTTATACATTTATAATAGATACATTTTGAGCTACAACAACACGTAGCGGGGTCTGCTAGTTCAATAATATTATGAGTTATTACTTAGTAATTTAAGCTATTTCAGAAAAATGTTAGTTGGATGAATCTCATTTAACTTTTCTGAAATAGTTAGCTCATTATATTTCCTATTTGTAGCCATTTTGTAATCTTTTCTTCTAATTTAAAGAAAATAGAATTTTTCTGTAAGAAAAAGCAAAAACTGGCTTAAAGAGAATACAATCTAACACACAATAGTATTCTATTATTAATTGTATTGAATTTATATCAAAGAACTTTTGTACATAAATGTATGATTTTCAATCATAATAAATTAAAATTAATGTAAAAAGAGCATTAATGATGCAACTTACCTTATTATGATTTACCTCATTTGAAATTGCTTAAGTACTTCAGTAAGAATTACCTGTGAATTTCATGTAGAGGACCAATGGCTAGTTCTATGAAAAATTCACTATCTCAAGTTTGAGATTACAAAAATCATGTGATCTGATGAAAACAAGCTCCATTAATAGTTAAAGCTATAAATATGCATTTCTATCATGAATAGAAATGTGGATTAACATAGAAATTTAATCAACTTTGGAATCATTGAAGCAATAGATTTTTGCAAAAAATGTCCAAAATAATTAAATGCCAAACAAATTTCTTCCATGAAAATAAAAAAATTCTCTCTCTGTTCACAATGCTGTACAATGTCTGAATGATCTTGAATGGAAATTCAATAAATCTACAATGTACAATTTGTAAAACTGAAACCAAAAATGTCACTTGTGTGTGAAACTTTCCTTATAAACATGTAATGATAGGATATCTTGACAGCCGCTAATAATTATAAAAATGATACACAATTTGCATTTGTAGAAGGAGGTGGTATTCAGACAGCTCTCTTTGTGTTGTTGTCACTAATCCAAATACAGTTGCTTAAGAAAAGACATAAAGTGTTCGCTCTTTTTTTGGATCTTGATAAAGCATATGATATGATTAGCATTACAGATCTACAGAGTAAAATGAAGAGATGTGGAGCAAATGAACTTATGATAGGGTTGCTGTTTGGAAAATATAAGACAATCATTAAACAAAATACGAATATCTGGATACCGTTTATTACCTACAGAGGACTATTACAAGGAGATCCATTGTCCCCACATCTTTTCAATTTTTATCTATTTGACCTAAATAATTGTTTTAAAAGAGATGAAGATGGTATTCAAATCGAAAATCAGACAAGACATACTATATCATATGCCGATGACATTGTGCTGGTAGCTCCAATGGCAGCTGCGCTCCGTAGAAAGATCCAACAAATTTGTGAGTACTTAGAAAAGTTAAGAGTTAAAATAAATCCAAAAAAATCAACAATAATGATATTTAGAAATGGTAGTAATGTATCCAAAAAGCACATGTCCTTTTTTATTAATAAAGAAGTGAAGATAGTTAAGGAAATTAAATTTTTAGGAATAACATTTATACCAAACCTTTTGTTTGAGAAACATTATAAAAATTCACTAAATAAAGCAAAAATTGCAATAAATAACTTAATTGGTCTATTCTGTAAGGCAAAACTAAAGAACTTAGGAACACACTTTCAACTTTTTAATTTGCTTGTGATGAATTCAATGGGCTATGCGGCCCCAGTTTGGAGTATGGATAAGTTTAATGACTTTGAAAAAATACGGAATATATTTATACGCAAGATATTCCAGTTAGAATTTAATATCCTGGGCAGTGCTTTAAGATTAGAAACAAATAGATTTAGATTAAATACTATATTAATAAAAAGATATTTAATGTTTCTCCAAAAAATTATTAAGGCAGAAGACATAACAACAAAATTACTGTTTTTACTATATCACAAATCAAGGAAAACGGACTTAAGAAGAAGTTGGATAATACAGCTATTGAAGATAGTAAATAAATACAGATTCTCTATTAAATTGTTTTTGGATCGTACACATAATATGGAGCAGTATAGTAAAGAAATAATATACAGAGCTATGGAGCTCTCCATTGTTCAAGACATTGAGGATATACGAAAACGGGAAAACACAAGCTGGTATGCAAGAATTTTAAATTACCCAGTAAATAATAACTATATATTGACAAATCTAGCTTTTAACATCAAAAAGTTTTTATACAGATTAGGTTAAATAAAAATGGAATAATTATAAATGATAAATATATAGACTATACCCAATCTAAATGTTTAAATTGTACCAAAATTTTATCTAGAGTTCATATTATATGTGAATGCTGTAATGAAAAGGATAAACTATAAAGGCTCCAGATGGGACTGCTGGATAACTGTGATGAGATGAGATGGAAATGTATAAGACTTTTGACAGAGCTAATACTAACACGATTTATATGTTATATAACTATGTTAAACAATTTATTAAATGATAATTGTGACAAAATATTAATGTAATTCTATAGATCTGTAAATAGAATATATAAGTGTTGTTAAGACATGATTATGTAAGATGTTAATATGCGTTTTTAAAATCAAACGCCCTTGTAACAGGTGAAAGCCTTTTACACCAAATAAAGATTATTATTATTATTATTATTATTATGATAGGATATCTTGAATGAAATGATATTTTTGTGGGTTACAGGACCAGATAATGATTTCAAATTTCATTGTATGCTCATTTTGAATTATCCATACTAAAATATATGCAAAATCCTGACATTGGCCAGGGATTAGACTTGACTTCAAATTATCTGATATCAAAATAATGAGATTTTACTGTAAGTGAATAAAAGAGTGAATAAAAGAGTGAAAGAAATATATTTGAATTTGTTCATTTTTCTTTGTTTAAATTCACTAAGGAAATAGTTTAACTTAACTTTCTTGGCCGTAAATTGCAGAAACACAAAAATTCCATTGTTTTTAAACTTAGAGTTACTAATCAACTCTAATGATGTACAAAATGATATTCAAAAATAATTTTTTTTTTGCTGTGTGAAGGTATTTATTTGAATACTAAAAGTGCTATTCATTTGCATATTTATTACTGAATTATATTAGTTTATCATATATGTTCCATTGCTAATGCCATTCAAATTAATAATATATTAAGATAATATAAAAGTTAAAATAAAATTTGCATACTTATTGAGCTAAAGTGTTGTAAAATCATATTACTATATTAATGAATAATAAATTATATGATGATTATATGTTTATTTTTAATCTGTATTAAATAACCACTCGTGTGTGGTGAGTGGTTATTTAATACAGATTACTTAAATTATTTAAAAATTACCGAAATTACTTAAAAAAAGTGCATACACGGAACCAGTATTTGTTCCATGCACACAGTTTTTTAATCTGTATTTTGTTATTTCGTATATAATTTATATTTTTTATAACAACATAAGTATTCAAACTTTTGTCTTTTTAACTCTTGTGCAATAGATGCTTAGAAAACTGATGTTTTACTTCAACTTTGAGTTGCCATAGTGTAAAATTAGTAAGAAATTTGAGCTTAACTAGAACATTACATACTTTGTTATATCATGATAGAATTGAATTGGAGCAGGAAAGAAAGAAACAATCTTTGCACTTGATAGGTACAGATGAGGCAATCCTTGTATGGTACCTGATGGTTGCAGACAGGCAAACTTTGCACTTGCCACCCTAAAAGAGGCTATCCTTGTACATACTTGCAATGGGAGAGACTATCCTCATACCTGCTGATTTGGAGAAGCATTTTGTTTATTTTGCTCCTATTTTCCATTAGGTGCATGCAATACTGTTTTCATTTTTGATCCCTAGGCCTAAATTCTGTTAGGCACATTCAGTAACATCAGAGAGCATGAATACAGTTTAATTCCCTCTGTATATTGAAAATGAAGTCATGGACCCCTATTTTCTATATTTAAGTGGACCATCATTGCATTTTTAGATTCCTCATTTGCAATTAATGGAAAATGGCAAAGTTTTATCAAAATTGGCCCATTAAATTTTGAGAACAAACTCAGTTCTATAAGTCCATATAAGATGTTCTAGTGACTGTACAACATTGTCCAACAAAATCTTGCAATTCATGCAATATCGCTTTGTCATGTGAGTTCATGCTATGATCTTATATCATGAAAACAAAGTCAGGGACTTCCCATTTTTTATTACATTTTAGATTCCTTATCACAATTAATGGAAAATGGTAAAGTTTAATCAAAATTGATCAATCAGATTTTGAGAAAGAACACAATTCTGTAAGCTACATGGAAAAGGCTTTACTAACACTCCACCTCAAATATTAGGTGATCTAATGAAATGATTTTGAAATGATGCTACATTTTGATAATTATAAAATTTAGTTTTGAATATATCTTATTAGTATTTTAAAATAGATATAATAAACATCTTTTTCATTCAAAAAATTGCCTAGCTGTTTCTTTAAAGTTTGGAAAAAGTTGTAATAATTAAAAACAACACTGGATTTTAATTTTTTATTATGATATTTAATTTTTTAAATATGATACGAAGTTTTAACTAAAATTTGTTTCATTAAACATTGTTTTATGAATAATGAAATAATTGAAAATAACATATCTTATCTTTTTTTGGCAAGTACTTTTTTGTAAATTTTCATTTATAATGTCTTAGGCTAAGAATAATAATGAACAAAAATGGATTTGAATATGAGAAAAAATTTATAGTTACAAATTTTTTAACAAAATCAGTAGTTATTTTGAAAATTTTTTATTAATATATTTGAATTGCTTGTGTGCAGATGATAAGCCACACAAAGAATTTAAAAAATATGACATTTTAATTTTTAAACATGTTAATTTCAGGATTTATTTAAAGATTTAAATGTGATATTTTTTAAATTTTCCTTGTGGGGTTTATCACTTTTTGCACTCAAGCCATTCAATTTTAAAAATTTATTTCTGATTCAGATGTTGCCTATACTGTCATAGTTAACACATTATTGGACTGCATATCTAGATACAACACAGTAGTTTTTTTAAACCAGAGTATTTGTAATGTTATATATTTGTATTATGCAAGTTGAACATTCCTTTTTAAAATGTACAGAAAAAACTATTCAATTTATATCTGATTCTACAACATCTTTATTTCTGACTAAATGTCTTTATTGTTACTCAGAATTATTTATTTTATAATTAATAACATCCAGAAATTTTTTAATAAAGCATTTGCATGTATTTTAAATGATTTTACTTTGTACAAGCTTTTGTAATAATTTTATAAAAGATATATATCTTATGAATGATTCTTAATGGAAAAATAAAACCAAAACACTAAGTTTTATTTAAAGAGTAGATATTAAAATTTTTTTGTTGTTCTTTTTAATCTTTAAATATTTTTTAAAAACTAACAGTAATAATTTTAGGCTTTGAGAAAAGAATATAAATACAGTAGAGCATCGATTATCCGACCCCCCAATTAACCGTCACATCGATTAACCGATCGTTCTAGTCGGCAAATTTCAAATGTCCGCTAGTGATGTGGCACTACTATATTTGGCTATGTCTTGGCTACTTTAATATTATTTTTGTTAAATTTTTGCGTGTTTTAGCTGGCAACACTGGCTTGACCATTGAAGGGAAGGCAGTATTTAAACGAGACTTAATTTTCTAATTATGAGTGGTTGTTTGTTTTGTGAGCAATAAAATAATTTAAAAATAATAGTGACGATTATTATTTTAAAAAAAAATTTGTTAGGCTTAACATCAATGAAAATTCAACGCGAAGTTGGTTAATAGCGATATATTAATATACTAATTATATGGGTATACTAATATACTATACTAATAATGTATTTTTTTCATTATTTTCGGTTATCCGATTTTTTCAGTTATCCGACCAACCTGAGTACCCAATTGAGTCGGATAATCGATGCTCTACTGTATTAGATATTTTTGATAGAAACTATGACACTCATTGTTATTGTACATATTTATACAAAATTCAGAAAGAAAGTAAAAATATTCTTTTCGTATATGTGTATAAATTAACACATATTCATCTTTTACAAATAAAGATGAATTAATTAAAGTTCTATTTTAAAGTATAACAGATATTCATGATGTAAAAACATCAATAAAACCAAAACTTAAGCAAAATTTATGAGAATTTAATGTAAAAACAGATAAACAAATATTTTTGATAGCTATAACCTATTGATATCAGGTTAAGAATAGTATTTGAAAAATGAACAAAATTTGAATGTCAATTTTTAAATCTTGAGAAAGCTTTGTCTGATTGGATGTTAGCTTAGTGATATAGGATGATTAAGAAAATCATAAAAGGACTTCAAATAAGGATCTCCAACCTTAGAGGGCAATACTCTTCTTGAAGTTGATAGCAATATTTTTCTTATACACCTTCTATTCTCTAATAACTCATTTTTGAGTGTTGTAAGCTCTCTGGTTGGATGCAGAAGTTGGGCCTCATGCAGGTGTGCTTGGATCTGGTATTCTGTGATAGGGAGGGCTAAAGTGGTGTGTTGTTCTCTTAATTTATCAAAGTAAGATGTTCCTTTAATTGTTGGCAGATTGGGTGGGAAGTATTGTCAATGTAGAAAAAATGTTGATTGAGTGTGTTGTCAGTGCTGGAATTCTGATATAAACTTCTGACGGAAGGTCTTTATAATGATCCTTAGAGTTTCTCTATTTATATAGGTAGCAGGGTTTTGTTCAAATGCAGTGGATATGTTGTTGACACTCTATTTTCATGTAAGTTCACTTCAAATGTTCAAGGAGGACAGGCCAAACTTGTATGGTCTGTCCTCCTTGCTGTGACTGATGGTATTAGAGCAGGGGTTGCAAACTGGCAGCCCATTGGCAGCTGGATACAACCCATTAATTAAAGCTTCATATTTGGCCTGCAGCCTTGATGATCTCTTTTCAAAAAATCAATGTTTCTAACATGTGAGGATTAAAATGGAAAAAATTTGAACATCTAGCTGTTTACATAAATCATAAAGGCCTGGCAACAAAATGGCCTTTATTAGAGCCTTTATTTTTAATTACAATATGTTTTGGTTTACTGAATAATATTGGATTTGACTTGTGTCTGATATACATCTATTCACTGGCACTTTGCTGCATTTGAGTTTGAGGCCCTTGTATTAGAGGAATAAAATTTGATTAGACCCTTGATTATCTTGGGATGGTAGCCATGTTGAACTGCAATGTTTAAGATAGTTTAATTCCTGAGCTCTAGATGTGTGAATAAATGCTTTTCTAACAAAGGCTCTGAAAGCTGCTAATTTAAATT